AGGTAAACTTTTACATACATATAGTCTAATAGGTGAACTGTATAATGGAGACTAGCATACCTGGATGAGAAGATACATAGCAGAATGCTTCTCTGCTTCTGAACAAAATGAAGACCCCCCCATGAAACTGTTAAACAGACCTTGACAATAGGATACTAGACTATCTACCATTGTCTGTACCTACAACGTCATGGTACACTAAATAGCAGAATGAGATCTGTGATTTGCTGAAGGATTACACTATTGTAATATTGTAATAATATGTGGGAAAGCAGTAGGGAGGAGGAAATGGGAGATGGGGAATAGATGAAGGATCCCTGTTCCTGTGGAACTGTATCATGAAAAATAATGATAAAAAGTAAAATTTAAAAAAGCAAACAAAAACATATAGTTAAAAAAAATGGTTCATGGAAAATGTGCATTACCTTTTAATTCCATCCACAAATTTTTGTAAGTATCCTCACATAAATTTTAATTTTCTGTTTTCTTTGGAAATATTAGGGTTTCTGGGAGCCCTGACCTTTATTCCTACACAAGGACAACTGGATAGGGATGGCTGAAACTCAGTAATGCTGCCGTTTCTTGTGGACTTTGCCCTCACTCTGCATTATGCCTTTAGATGTCTTCCCTAGCTTAGCTTTCCCAAGCACTTGACTTTGCAGGATTTTTTGTCTTTTTAAATTTTAAGTTTATTTAAAAGGTGAGATTACAAATACATGTGGGAGAATTTGGCGAGTTGGGAGGTGACAGGTGGGAGAAAAATGTTTCTGCCTTCCATCTTTTCTCAGCAGGAAGAGAGAAAGATTGACCTCCAGGCTGCGAGTGTTCAAGTGAAGTTGGGAAGGGGAGTGGTTTTATGTTTCCACCTCCGGTCCCCAGTGACAGGAAGTACATTCTGGATGAGGGGTCATTGATGGATAAGCAGAGCTTATCTTATCTTTCCAAAGAGCAGGGCTAGTGTGGCTTCCAGCTTATGACCCTAAAGTAGTTATCTACCTGTGCCATTCCATTCTTGCATCAGAGATTTCTGACTTTAATCTGCTAAAAGGTGCAGATTCATCACATTTAGTTTCTTCCTGCTGATTTGAGGTGTAGGGCTTGCCTATCATAGGTTTTGAACTCTTCTCTCTCAAGAGAGAGATCTCAATGGATCTCTTTCAGAAGTCTGACAACTTCTACTCAGCACCAATTGCTATGTCCCCTATATCTTCATCGTTACTCCAAGAGAGTGTTGGCTTCTTTGCAAGGGCAGCAATGTGGTGGCTCTAATTATGCAACCTGTTTGCCTAGACCAGACTATACACCCACAGATTCTACTCTGTGAGACTGGAGGTCTTGATTTGTTTGAAGGCAACATGGGATGAAAGCACTGGCTTTTTGCCAGTGTGAAAGGCCACTGATGGGCCTCCCTCCATAGCAGGGAGGACTTTGCTGGCTGCAACTTTACCCACATCAAAAGCCTCCAGTGGGCCCCACCTGGTCCAAGGACCCTAGCAACTGGGTAGCAGCGGTTCACTCCCACGCCCCCACGAATTTAACATTAAAGAGTGGGCAACTATGCTGGCACACTGGTATAGTTAGCATGGAATTTACATGAGCCAGGCCCAGAATGCCAGTGAACCTTTGGCTGTTTTTCTCGCAGCTGTGTTAATACTTGCTTAGGTACAAGGTAATTCAGGCAGTTGCCTACAGCTGGGATGCATTTGGGCTATTTAATGTTTTCCCTCACTCCTTTGGTTTCCTTTACCAGTCTTCTCTTGCTTTCTCTTCTTTTTCTGCCTAATTAGTTTATGCATTTTGCTCTTTTCCAAACAATGTCCTTAACTGGATTGCTCTTTTTTTTTTTCTATTGTCAGTGTGACAGTCTTCAAACCTTGGGTCAGCCATTGTAACCATTTGGGAAGTGAACCAGCAGATACAACATCTCTTTCTATATATATATAACTCCCCATTTCCAATAAAAAATAAATATCTAAAAAAAGAATTATAGAAATATTTAATTGAGTGGCTTTGTTTTTTGTGAGGGAGGATGAATGGAACTGTCCATCACTTTTCAGGTAAGGTAACTTAACAGTAACAAAATTTCTAGCTGAACGCAGGTCCTCTCACCTCACAGGCCGTGTTCTTGTCCGTCTTAGCATACTATCTCCTTAAGAAGTATGGCGTATCCAAAGGAATGTTCCAGGCAAAAGCAATAGTATGAAAGAGATGTTGCATCTGCTGGTTCACTCCCCAAATGGCTACAATGGCTGGAGTTGAGCCAGTCCAGAGCCAGAAGCCAGGTCTCCTACTGGGTGCAGGAGCCCAATGCCTTGGACCATTCTCTGCTACCTTCCCAGGCCAGAAGCAGGAAGCTGGATGGAAAGTAGAGCATCCAGGACTTGAGCTGATACCCATAATGGATGCTGGCACTGCAGATGGGGGCTTAGTCAGTATACCACCATCCCAACTCCTGTACAGTATTTTTAAGATAACTTTGTTGCTTTTCCTTGGTGTCGTATTTCTTAATCTCTTAATAGAAAAGTCCTGCCCTCTAGGAGCTTACAATGTGCTAAAAGAGTAACTTCTGCAACATTATACTGCTAATACATGGGACAGGATTTGGGATGCTAGACTACTAATGCAGCCAATATTTTAAGAACCTTTATCTTCATACTTCAAAATGTGTTCAGAAAGTTCATGGAAGATACATATTATGAAACAACTACATGAAAATTTTTTTTTGCATTGAAATAAATTCTTATTAGCTGGTTTTGTCTGAATAAGACCTAGTTTGAGGTGCTAAGAGCATTAAGATACAGATTTGCAGAGCAACATGAATTTTGTTAAAATTGAAACAAGAATAAATCTCAACTTTATGGTCAAGTTTATGTGAAAAAGTGGTGAAATCACTGATGGTTTAGGGCATGTTTACATGGACAATTTCCCCACAGAAATCTGCAATTTACATTATGGATAACTAATTTTAAGAAGGGGTGAGATGATGTTGAAAGATAAAGGCAGTAGCAGCAGCAAAACTTCATATCAATTTGCAAAGAAAAAAGAGTTAATCTGGTTCTAACCTAATGTATGAAGGCAGCCAGTTGACTGCTGATGCAATAGCCAATGCCAGAGACATCTCAATGGGTTCAGCTTACAAATTCTGAATAAAAAAATTATTTGTTCCACTCACTAAGTTCCTAGACTCTTGTGGCCAGATCCAATGCAGACAAAAGCAGAGATTTTGATAAACTTTTAATGAATAGGATCAACATTTTTGGGGAAAATTGTAGTAGGAAAGGAAAGATGGCTTTCCAGGTATGGCCCTGAAGATAAAGAAGTGGAAGTGGTCCAGTCATGGCCCAAGTAGCCTGGTCAAGAGCATAGGCCATGGCAACAGCTACTTGGGAAGCTCCAGGTATTCTGCGTGTTAGCTTTCAGGAGGGCTGAAGAGTGATAGCACAACTTACTAGGAGAGTATTTGCAAAATTGGTCACAACTTTAACAAGATGTCTTGGGAAGCTTCACCAGACACTTCTCTCTAAGCACCATGGTGCTCTTGCTCAATCATCTCATCAAAAAGGGCAATTTTATACATTTTTTTTTTCGTGGAAATGTTACAGAACTTAATGCACATATTTTTCTCCTCTGAATTATTTTGGCTTTATAATATAAAAATAAAATCTCAAAAAGCAGCCAATTTTCTTCGGTGAATAAAGTAAAATACACTATACTGACATAGTTAAATTTCCAGGACTCCCAGTTCTATCTGGATTAAAAAAAAAATGACGTCGACTGTTGCTTATCAAGATGGAACTTAATGTTGACAAATAAAGTTTTTTTTTAAATTTTTATCTTTAATTTCCTCAAAAGGTTTTAAAATTATCCTCATTCCACATTTACAACAGTATACAAAAGAGAACAAGATGCTATTCTTGTTGGGTTGCATTTCTAGCACAGCAATAAAGAAAAACCAGAAGCTAACTCATTGAATATTGTGCTAAAGATTAAAGAGGAAGTGATGGGATGAGAAAAGGAAAAATGTTTTAGGTAGAGAGAGAGCCATGTATGAATGCTCTGAGGTGGGAGTGTGACTGGAAAGGGAGAAATTAGTTGACTAAGCAAATGAAGCCAAGAAAACTAAAAAAACCAAAGAGATTTGTCCATGATGATTGATAAGTGGTAGAACTCAGGTCTTCTGAGTTGCTTGGCCTTCTTTCCTGTGAATCACACTACCTTTACTTTTAGGAAAATTAGCATATATGTATAGCATATGTGATTATTGAAAATAAAGTAAAATTGGAACTCATTAAAACACAGACTTTGTAAAAGAAACTCTAAAATTTCAACTTATACTAAGTGAACCATACATTTGGGGAATTTTAAATGAAGCAGGTAAAATTTGAAAACATATATTCTTAGCTAGCAAGTGGTAGACACAATGTTGAATGAATAGGATGTGAGTCCTGCTCTTGAGATTTCCAGTTTTCATTATGACTAACTCTAGCAGAAATTTGTATGGCAAGTGTTGTGAAAAATTGTTTGATCTAGGGACTGGTTCAGTGGTAAAGCAGGCTTGATCCTCTGCTCTGTGGTGCTGGTATCCCATATGGGTGCTGGTTCTAGTCCTGGCTGCTCCACTTCCAATCCAGCTCTCTGCTTGTGGCCTGGGAAAGCAGTGAATTATGACCCAAACCTTGGGACCGTTCACTTACATGGGACACGTGGAAGAAACTCCAGGCTCCTGGCTTAAAAGCATCCCAGTTCTGGTTGCTTTAGCCATTTGGAGAGTGAACCGGTGGATAGAAGACCTTTTCTATCTCTGTAAAATCTCCCTTTCAAATAAGTACAAATAAATCTTTTTTAAAAATCACATGATCTTGTACAAGTAGCAAAAACTGTCGATCTTCTGTAATTCCTTTTGCTCCTTATATATATTGTCTTTGCAAAAAGCTATTTTTAGATGGTCATTTGTTTGTACCTTATTACCTAATTATTTTAACTTTTATTGCATTTATTAGGTGATTGATATAGGAGAGAGTATAGCCATTCCAGATGAATTCACTGAACAAGAAAAAAAGTCTGGAGATTGGTGGAAGCGTTTGGTGGTAGCAGGAATAGCGAGTGCAGTGGCACGGACATGCACAGCACCTTTTGACCGCTTGAAAGTCATGATGCAGGTAGTTGGCACAGCTTGCCTACCCTGTTAGAGCTGAAGTAAAATGAAAAGTCCTTGAGTGATGATAGCTTAAACATTTTGGACTCTTTTATATAACGTTTCATTTAAGTTTTACATTTTCCTAAAGATGTAAATTTTCTTATTTTCAATATTGAAGGATTCCTTAAATTTCATTAAGATTCTATGTAAACCAAATAAAATTTTCTTTGGAATAGCAGTAAATCCATTCTACTAGTAGAGATTTTTCAGAAATAAATCCTTAATGAAGTATTTAGATATATTATTCTGTTTTTCAATAGTTGTGTAATTCTGCTCTATTTAAGTACTAAGTATATATTCATTAGAGAAAAGTAATCTATGTTATCTAATTACCTTTATGTTACTGAGTGACAGATTATTAGTAGTAGTCATAAAGAATGTATGGCTTAGTAACATTCATAATTAAAATTTAATATTTGCTGTATACTTTTTCTACAAAGATATAAAAAGCAGTAATCCACAATCTAGGTAATTTAAATTTGTTTTTAAGCATGCATGTCTGGATGTTTGTCTTTCATTGTCATATTGGTGGAACTTTGGTAATGTATTATGAAGTTCTTATAAATATGATTTATTTATGTTTAAATTGCAATAGTTATTTACAATGCTAGAAAGTGATTTTGTGAAGTTTGCCTTCAGAGAAATTAGAGTATGTTCAGGCAAATGGGAAATTATGCATGTAATAAATGTGATGCAAGTGCTATTTATTCAGACAGAAATGCAAATAATGTTATGGAAATGCTCAGAAAGAATAAGTGCCATTTCCTCTTGGTTTCTTATTTCTCACATAAATATGTAGTGATGTCTTGGTTAAGGACAGGAAACACACTTTAAATGGCCAAAGATAGTGGAAAACTCCACCATCCTTGTGTATGCTTGATTCTTTGTGTAACCAGTGTTACATTCAGTCAGTTGAGTAAATTCTTCTAGTTGTTAGGAAATGTCAGGAGTGAAAAATCCTCCTCTTGCAGGTAGAAACAGGAAAAATTAACTTCCTTAATCATTAGGCTGATCAGAAAAAAATAAAAATGAGACATGAAGGGACAAGTATTAATATAGTTGGGGGCTGTACAAGGTGGAGACATACAGGAAGGAGAGAAGGCAGGGAAAGGAATCAAGAAAATCAAGAAGATATATTTATCATATACTTATAATTTGCCAGCCGTTAGACATACAAAGATGCAAAATATCTATTTCATACTCCAAGCCCTTATGCACATATAAGCCATCTATTGTGATAATGCTGGTGATGGTGCTATTGACAACAGTCATTCCTTATGATTAGTTGCTGTGTGTAAGGTAGTAGGGAATTGTAGAGACATGGGGTTGGGATTTTGTAAGGGATTGAAAATGGGTCCATAGGTTAGGGAGAGTGAAAATGAATGGAGCAAATGGCAGGGCCTGGAAAGAGTGAAAAAGAGAAGAAATCGGGGCCTGTGCAAAAAAGGAGGAGGAAGAAGTGGGAGACATAAAGGTAAAGTAACTAGAGAACAAATGACAAAAATGACAGGAAGGTGATATACGACAAATGAGTGAGAAATGGGGAGACAGTAGTAGTGTAATGAACAGCAAGAGGAAGGAAAGCAAAGGGGAGAGAACCTCTGCCTTTTCTGCTATTGGTTCACATTCCTTTCATTTATCCGTATATTTGACATTGAAGTAGGTTAATTAGGCTCTATCCTCTTTATCAATGAAAGTATTGTAACAGAAAGATACACTGTGAAATACATGTTTGTCATATGGCCAAAGTTTGGAGCTGTTGAAGAGCAGGGACCGGAGTCAGATGGCCCTTGGTTCTTTACATTTATGGGTTACTCCCAACTGGGTCTGCCTTTCAGAGGGGATCATTATGCCAGGTTACTTTTAGAATTAAATTTTATACAGCACTTAGCATAGTATCTGGTACATAGCAAATGTTAAAAAAAAAATAAGGCTCTCATTTTGGCAGAGAAATAAATAAATTACACTGTTACTCTTTCATAAAAGCCACATTAACATTTCTGTAGTTATATTTTTGAGGTTTTACACATTGCATTTTTAAAACACAATAAATATATATGCCAGTTAAGATGCATCTGGAAAACAGAAAAGAGTGTAAACATTACCTTTCCTCCCCTCACCCAGAATGATCATTATTAACGCTTGAGTGAATTACTTTAGTATTTTTTAGAGTAGCAATTGCCTTTTGTTAGTTTTGTGATTGACAATATAATATAAGCATGTTTCTATGTCACTTCATATCCTTAAAATATGATTTTAATAAGTATTTGTTTTATCATTTTCCCCTGCTGCTAGAAATGTAGGTGGTTTTTAATCCACCTTGAAAAACAATAAATAATAATTTCACAATGAAGATATTGATAAATTTTTTTATTTTTTGGGAAAATTCCTAGAAATTTACCTTGTGATACGAACATTTTAAAGTAATGATATGAATATTCTTGATTTAGCATAGGAAGACACGGCCCTTTCAAAATGTTTGTGGAAAATAGAATTTAAAAATATATTTAAGTTGATACAAAAGATTTTTGAGGATGATGGTGCTGCACAGCGAATTAAGCTACCACCTAGCCTATGATGATGCTGGTATCCCGTGTGAGCACATGTTTGAATTTGGGCTGCTCCATTTTTAATACAACTGCCTGTTGTTGCACCTTAGAAGGCAGCAGAAGATGATCTGCATGCTTGGGATCTTGCCGCTCATGGGAGAAGCCTGATGGAGTTCCATGCTTCTTGCTTTGGCTGTTGCACCATCTGGGGAGTAAACCAGAGATTGAAAGAGAACTTTCGGGCCCGGCGCGGTGGCGCAAGTGGTTAAGTCCTCGCCTTGCACGCCCGGGATCCCATATGGGCGCCGGTTCTAATCCCGGCAGCCCCGCTTCCCTTCCAGCTCCCTGCCTGTGGCCTGGGAAAGCAGTTGAGGACGGCCCAAAAGCTTTGGGACCCTGCACCCGCGTGGGAGACCCGGAAGAGGCTCCTGGCTTCGGATCGGCATAGTATCGGCCCGTTGCGGCTCACTTGGGGAGTGAATCATCGGATGGAAGATCTTCCTCTCTGTCTCTCCTCTCTGTATATCCGCCTTTCCAATAAAAAAAAAAAATAATAAAAATAAATCTAAAAAAAAAAAAAAGAAAGAGAACTTTCATTGTGTGTGTAACTTCCTGTCTCTCTGTAACTCTCTCTTTTAAATAATAAATCAATCTTAAAAATTGAAATCAGTTCATATGAGGGGTTCTTTAAAAGGTCTGTGAAAAATATATAGTAAGAAAAACATATGTAAGGGTTTCAAACTTTTATGCACCAAAATAAATTAATCTGTTCAATTTCCCACAGACTTTTCACAAATTTACTTATTTACTTGAAAGGCAGAGTTACAGACAAAGGGACAGAAACAGAGAAATTTTCATTTGCTGTCTTTCTCCCCCAGATGGCTACCATGGCTAGGCCAGGAACTTCACCCCATCTCCCACATGGGAAGCAAGGGACAAAGTATGTGGCCATCTTCCATACTTTCCAAGCATGTTAGCAAGAGGCTGGATCAGAAGTGGAGCAACTGGGACTAGGAACAGTGAGATACAATTCTGGTCCCTCTGCAAACTTTTTATAGCACTTTCATGTATATTTGTAAATTGTTCTAGATTTTCTTTGCTCATAGGAGATTAGAAGTTTTATTTTTCCTTGGTTTCTAATTATTATCCTTTAGAGAGTATTTTGTTAATGTTTTCACTTTCACTTTCTTTTTATGTAAGGATTTATTTAGTTTTGTTGAAAGGTGGATTTTACATAGAAAAATATTCCATCTCTGATTCACTCCCCAAATGGCCACAATGACTAGAACTGAGCCTATTTGAAATCAGGAGCCAGGTGCATCTTCTGGGTCTTCCATGTGGATGCAGAGACCCAAGGACTTGAGCCATCTGCTACTGGTTTTCCCAGGCCCCAAACTTGAAGCTATATCAGAAGTGGAGTAGCTGGTACATGAACTGGTGCCCATATGGGATGCCAGCACCATAGGCAGAGGATTAGGTTTCTGTGCCATAGCACAAATCTCTTCACTTCTGCTTTCTTAAAAACATTTTTCTTATCAGAAAAGGATAGATTTTTAAAAATGGGAAAATATCATAAGCATAGGCGATAACATTAATTGTGCAATCATTGTATACTAATTTGCTAAAACAAAATTGAAACTAGCTTAATTAACAGAAATCTATTATATTACAATTCTGGAGGCTGCAAGTCCAAAATGAACTTGTTGGAAGATTAGTGCCTTCCCAGCACAGTGTGGGATAGTTCACTTTAGCTCTGTCTCCTTGACCTGTAGATAGCCGTTTCCTCTCAATGCCTTCTCATGTTGTCTTCTCATTGAAAATGCCATGTCCTTGAGGCAAATTTCTTCCTCTTGCGTCAGATTAGGACCCATTTGAACACCTCACCTGACCTGTTGAACTCTGTAAGGACTCCAGCTCAAAAGTTACATTCTGAACAATGAGGATTTGGAAATCAATGTGTCAGCTATGGGTGACAAAACCCAGGAGAATACACAGTTGAAAATATGATGTATTTCCATTCCTTTTTACTTTTAGTGACTATTTTAGCACACATTTTAGTAATCATATTTTGTGAGTGGCATCCTATGTTGCTGATGCTGAAATTCTCTGAAAATTGTTTCTTCCATATATTCTCTAATGTTTTAAATTACAGTATTTCCCCCATAACTGTGGAGAAAATGTTCCAAGGTCCTCGGTGGATGCCTGAAATCAAAGGTAGTACTTGACACTAAACATAGTAATTTTCTTCATACATAGATGACCATGATAAACTTCAAGATTAAAAATTGGACACAGCAGGAAATTATCAATAATAGCTAATAATAAAAGCCAGCAATTATAATAACTTTCCATAAGGAATTTATATGATTTTTAACTTTTCATGAAAAGGAAGCACTTTTACAGTTTTTGTTTGAAACATTCAGATTTCCAGTATCACTAATCTTGAGCTTTGGGACCACTGTTAAGTAAAATAATGGTTATTTAAACACCGGTACTGCAGTGCAATGAGTGCTGGTCTGATAACCACTGCTAAGTAACCAGTGGGTAACAATCTGGATATGTTGGACAGAACTGATTCACATCTGGGGTGAAACGAGTGAGGATGATTGAGAGTTTATCTCACTAATCAGAATGGTGTGCAATTAAAATCTTAGAATTGCTGATTTCTGGGTCCTGCTCAGTAGCCTAGCGGCTAAAGTCCTTACCTCAAACACACCAAGATCTCATATGTGCACCGGTTCTAATCCTGGCAGCCCCACTTCCCATCCAGCTCCCTGCTTGTGGCCTGGGAAAGCAGTGGTGGGTGGCCCAAAGCCTTTGGACCCTGCACCCGTGTGGGAGACCTGGAAGAGGCTCCTCTGGGCTCCTGACTTCGGATTGGCTCACTCCTACCATTGTGGCTGCTTTGGGAGTGAATCATCGGACAGAAGATCTTCTTCTCTGTCTCTTCTCCTCTCTATATATCTGATTTTGCAATAAAAAAATAAATCAATCTTTAAAAAAAAGAACTGCTGATTTCTGAAATTTTTTAATTTCACCTCTTTAGACTATGGAAACTGTAGAAAGCAAGCCTGCAGAAAGTGAAGTTGCAGGTAATGTGGAATGACTGTAACTTTTAAGTATATGTTGGTGACAAGATCAAAATTAATGTGTTAATTTTAAGTGTTTCTGAAGATGACAATGGATTTATGCATAGGTGTATAATTATTTCATTAGCAACAGCAATGCTGATATATTGCCATAAAAATGACAGGTCAATTTATCTTCTGTTGACTTCTAGGTTCAGAGTTTAAAGACAAGGAAAATGAGATTGGTTAGTGGATTTGAGCAGATGATAAAAGAAGGAGGGATTCTTTCTCTTTGGCGAGGAAATGGCATAAATGTGTTTAAAATTGCACCAGAGACATCAATCAATATTGGGTCCTATGAGCAGGTATGGTGTTATTTGTCTATAGATTTTTTTTTAAAGATTTATTATTTTTATTGGAAAGGTAAGTTTACAGAGAGAAAGAAGCACACAGAAAGATCTCCTAGTCCTTGTGGGTGAAAGGAAATGGGTACTGCTGCCATTGGAAGAGCTGGCTTTGGTGAGGCACTTCAAACACACCTATGTAAGTGCCATGAATTGGGCACAGATGCAAGCAGGTTTATGGAAATGTTATTTCTAGTGGTTCCATTCATTCAGTGAAATGGGAAGCAAGGAAATGTTGGAAGTGGGAGGAAAAAGTAGAAGTCATGATATAGTTTCTAGGAGAGTGGAAAACTAAATGGACTGAGGAATTAAGATTGCTGGCTGTAAAGACTTAATTTTGTAATCATGAGTGTAAGTTGAAGTCAGCTAGTGGACAGATCTATAAAGTCTTGCTTTCAATAGTGTGTGTGTGTGTGTGTGTGTGACAGCTTTATAATTCAAATATTTATCCTTTTCCCCTTCACTTCTGACAGAGCAGATCTTTAATTTACATTGTAGTCAATAAAAAGCAAAAGACCCTAGTTTGCCAGTAATACAGGCAAGGGCTATAAAACAGTAATCAAATGGGGAAAAAAATCATTCTTTCACCCATATACAGTGGTGGATTTCAAAGGAATCACAGATCATTGAAGCTATAGTAGTACAAAATTCTTAAAGGTTAGTTTGACAAAGGTAAAAAAAAAAGTTTGAGAAAACTATATTTGCAACAACACTGATATGTGCAGGCATTGATTTCCTTTTGTTGCTTTTTAAAAATGATTTTTTAAAGACAGTATTACAGAGAGAAAGAAGAAAGAGAGGGAGATGGGAAAAGAGAGGGAAGGAGGAGAGAGAATTGATCTTCCATCCTTTGGTTCATGCCCTGAAATGGCTGCAATGGTCAGAGACAGGTTGGTTGAAGAGCCAGGAACCAGAACCCAGGGGCTTCGTCTGAGTCTCTCACATGGGTTCAGGGAACCAAGGGACTTGAACTATCCTCCCCTGCTTTCCCAAATCATTATCAGGGAGCTGGATCAGAAGTGGAGCTGACAGGACTTGAACCAGCTCTCATATGGGATGACAATACTTCAGGCAGAGGTTAAGCCTGATATGCCACAGAACTGGCCCCATTTTTTTTTAACCAAGTTTTTTTAGCTTGCACATGTAAGGGAGAATATGCAATATTTATCTTTCTGTGTCTGGTGTATTTCATTGAAGACAGTGTCTTCCAGATATATCCATTTTGTGATGAATGATAGAATTTAGTTCTTAAAAGCTGAATAATTTTTCATTATGTATATATGCCAGACTTTCTTTATCCATTCTTCTGATGGTGGACACCTTGACTAATTCCACATTTTGGCTATTGTGAACAATGCTGTTATAATTATGGTGGTGTGGACATCTCTTTGAAACAATGTTTTCCTGTCTTTTGAGTATATTCCCATTAATGGGATTGTGGATCAGAGTCAAATTGACGTCTGGCACCATGTTCTTCAAGAACATGATCCAGAACTGTGAGTTAAAGAAGCCCCATTTAAAGTTCACCCAACCTCAAGGACAGCACTTGTAATGCTATATTAGAGTAGAAGTTCTCGATAAAGAGATCATAATATTTGAACTTACAAAGGTTAACTGGGGTCCATCGTATATTATTATTAATAGTAGTTAAGGAGAATCAAGGTGGTGGAATAGGCTTTGCCATTAATATATTCTAAACTTGAAAACGTAGAATCAGTATTAGAAATGTCACTGGAGGATTTAATTTTTATGTCCTATGTTTAATGCTAACTACTAAAATGTGAGCCTTAAAGTTTTTTCTCCTTAAATTAGTTTTATACACAAAAGTTTCTATTTGCATAAAATGGGAGGAAATAGATGATTGTGCTTGCATTTTTTTTTTAAAGAAATTCTTTATTCTGAAGTGGTGCAGATTTAGAGTATGGTAATCAAGTGAGCAATATGGTATATAAGATGGCATATATACAACATAAAGAGATGGTATAAAATCACAATATAAAAATTATGAAGTTTGGTAGTGTAAAGTGTCCTTTGTTTATGTGTCACTCATTCTCGAAGTTGCCACAAAGGCTGAATTGGAAGTTTCATGTCTGCATGAAATTTCCTATATTTTTAATGTGTATGATGGACTTAATTCTTCTTGAATATTAAAGTCTGCCTATTGCTATAAAAATAGTAGTTAAACATCAAATTCTCTGAATTATTGGCAAAAGGAATGCTACACAGAGTAGTATTTAAAGTCTTGGACTCTGAAGCCAGATTCCAATCCTAGGCCCAACACTTATAGGCTATAAAAGATGGACAATCGATATAAATATCCTTTTTTAAAGTTTAGATGATGTTTACAAAGATGATCAAAATAGAAAGGATCGAGGGTTAGGGAGAAGTGGGTCATTGCTTCCAAACTCTCTATTTCCTCCTCCCATTTCTGGAGATAGGGAGCATATATGGGGATAGGCCATACCCAGCCTCCAAACTATCCCAGCACCCGAGGATGGGAAAAGACCACCAACATCAACCAAGGTTCACAATGTGGTACATGCAATAAGTTTTGAAATGCTATTGATCTTGCCGATCTGTGGATGAGGTATGCCTTGCAATTGTCCATTGGTTGACCATCAGCCTCACATCCAGATATTTGTAGTCATCGCCTGGCTGGGGTAGCTGTTATATGTTCTGTTCTCCATTCTCTGCTATGATTCCAGATGTCCTCTGCAGGTCCCAATGAGCTACCATGTCCTCCATGTGCACCATGGTCTGCCATCCAATACTCTATTCTCTACACTAAGGAGGACCAGTTCTCCTAGGTGGACTCATGGACCTGAGCCAGGTGACCCGGGATCTGCTGGACCCCCAACCCCTGGGGCTCACAGACCCCAGGAGACCTAGGCCCCTCTGGAACCCCCACCCATGGTGCTCATGGATTCAGTACCCACCATGCAGGCAGACCCAAGGATCTGGGCTAGGAGACCCAGACCCAACTGGACCTTCTACCCTGGGCTCACAGATCTGACACTATGTAGGTGGGCCCTAGAACCTGGGCCAGAAGACCCAGGTCCCTCTGAGTCCCAACCCCTGAGGCTCATGGATTCAGCACTCACCATGCAGGCAAGCCCAAGGACTTCAGCCAGGTGACTCAGGCTCCACTGGAGCCCCTACAGTCAGGGCGGGCTCACAGAGCCGACACTTACTATGTAGATGGGCCCTAGGATCTGGGCCAGGAGACCCAGTGCTCTCTGGACCCTCCACCACTGGGGCTCACAGACCTGACACCCACCCCCCACCAGACTGACATGGCTCATCATCCTTCAGCATCCATCAGTGGGTGCTTCAGCCTATTTAGATTCAACCTACCCCCAGTTCCAACCTGTGCTGGTTGATGCTACAAGCTAGTCTTCTCCAGTCATCTTCCAGTCCCAGTTCGAGTGTGAATTGGCTGGTGATGCAGCTCAACTTGGTGTCTCTTACATCCTATCATGGTTCTTGGATCTGCTAGTGAATGTTATGAACTTGCCTGGTCTGGCCCATGCCCTGACTTGAGCCACATGTATGCCTACAAGTAGTGTAACTTGGTCTGGTTTGGGCTGCTGCTTGCCTTGGTTCTTGTGCTTACCTGGAGGGACTGCAATTTGACAAAGGAGTTCACCAAACTCCTCTATCCAGTCTTCTCCCAGTAGCAGATCTTGCACACACTGGGGGTCTCCGGCCCAGGCTGACTTTGTCTACCTGTTATCCTGGCAGGAACAGTGTCCTTGCCCAATTGGCCCATATCCTTTCCGGGTTTTACTGTTGGGTGTTGCAGCCCAGTCACACCTGGTCCATGCCCAAACACAGCTCTCACATGGTTCAGCAGGAGTTGAGATCTATCCAAGTCCATTCTATACCCATCCTGACTTTCATGAGTACCAGGGGATGCTGGGGTTTAGCCCAGCCTGGCTCTCCCCAGGCCCAGGCCACACACTTGCTAAGGGAGATTGCAGCCATATTTAGCCCAAGACAATGCACTGATTCTGGCATTCCCATTCATCAATGGGAATTCCAGCCCAGTTGGGGTGTCCCCTTAGCTCCCAAACCAGGTCTATTCCCATACACAGTTCTTGTGCATGCCAACAAAGATTGCTGTTCCATGTAGATGAGCCATATATTGCCCTGCATATTCTACCCCGAGACCTGTTCACTCAGGAATTTGTTGGCTTCATAGCCCAACCTCACAGAACCTGTTCCCTTTTCTGATGCTGTCTTGTGGGTTCCATGTTGTAGCCCTTTTTGTAGAGCAGCCTTGTGTATGGACATTCCTGAGAAGTCATTCCTTACTGGATCTGAACCCTAAGATCCCTGTTAATCCACACCCATGCCTTCTCCCACATCTGCTTAAGTCCACACCCCAAGATCCAAGATCCCACCTTAACTATCCCCAGCAGCAACCATATGGCTGACAGAGTCAAGCATTTGTGCCTCCAGCTTAGACTCACTTGGGCTTCCCCCACCAAGATGGCGGTGGTCAGCAGAGCCAGGGTCCTGTGTCTGCCCAAAGCTGCCTAAGATATTCCCACAGTGAGCTTATTGTGGAAGGAGAAATCTCTTGGAGCATAGACAAGCCCAGAATTTTCCCACTGCCTGGCAGTGGTAGCCAGGGCTAGGATCCCAAGCATTGAGCCTACCTGACTCAGATCCCCACAGCAGCAGGTATGCGGCTTGGAGAGCTGAGCACTCATGCCTCCAAGTTAGACTCACCTGGGCTGCCCCCACCAAGATGGTGGCAATGGTATATAAATATTCTTTAACTAAAAATAGAAGTAATAATGATTAAGGTTGTTTGGGGAATTCATAATATGCATATAAAGTGCTTAGACTAATAGCCCACACAGTGATTTACAAGCATAAGCTATCATTTTGTTTACTAGACCAAGTGTGAATTATTTATAGGTAATTTGTTTTTACTTATTTGCTGCTAGGAGAGAAAGGAGGATCTATTATAGAATTGTATATAAACTATAATCAAGGAAATGTGAGGCAAATGTGAACTTCATGGCTGAAAAGGTCTAAATGCAGTAATGGAAATCTCAGACTGTCTGAGGGTCACAAAACCACCCTCAGGTTGAAGGACTTATAAGCAAGGATCACAAGACTCAGCATTTAGCAGCACTTTACCCAAGACTCGTCTCTACAATCAATGTTCAGAAGCGTTTTATCCAAGTTCTTCCAGTTGTTCTATGGTTTCAGGCTTATATTTAAATCTTTAATCCATTTTGAGTCAATTTTCTGTTTGTTCTGTCAGATTAATATCCAGAATTGTTTTATTGATGAGACTGTACTTTTGTTAGTGACACCAAAACACAGACAACAAAAGATGTACAAGTGGAAATATATCAAACCAAAGAGCTTCCACACTGCAGCAGAAATAATATATAGAGGGGAAAGGCAACTTACTGAACAGGAAAAACTGTTTGCAAATCATGTATCTTCTCAGAGATTTTATTTAAAATATGTAAGGAGCTTATATAACCCTTGGTGAAGATCAGTTGACTATATGTATGGGTTTCTCAGCTCTCTGTTTTATTCCTTTGGTCTAGATATTTATTTTTAGCTCAGTTCCATATTCTTTTGATAAACAATTTTATTACATGTTTTGAAGTTAGAAGGTCTGATGCTTCCCACTTTGGTGTTCTTGCTTATCGTTAACTTGTGGGTCATCTTTTATTGTTCCACATACATTTTAGAATTTTGTTTCTAGTCTTTGTAGAGATAATGACATTGAGATTTTGATTAGGGATTTCATTGAATTTGTAGATAACTTTGGGTAGTATTGAATAATCTTTAATCAAATGAACATTGATATCTTATTATTTGTGTCTTAAATTTTCCCATGAGTGTTTCATAATTTTCATTGTATAAAATGTTTGTCTCTTTGGTTAAGTTCACTCCTAGATATTTTATTCTTTATGTCACTGTTGTAATTGGCAATATTTTTTGGTTTGGCAATATTTTCTCAATTAATGTTCTACCTCAAATTTTTATTAAATATTAAGTGATTTTTGTATGTTGAATTTTCTGTCATGCAATTTTATTGAAATTTTTATTACTTGTAACAATTTGGGGAGGTTGAATTTGTAGAATTTTTTAATAGACATGCTCATGTCATCTATACAAAGATACAGTCATGCCCTGTGTAATAAAATAGCAATTACAAACTGCACATACAATAAGATTATATTGCCTAGGACTATAATAGATTTGTTAGTTTATACAAGTATATACATTGATGTTCAGGTGACAAAATCACCTAATGATACATTTTTCAGAACATGTGCCAATTTTTAAGTGTTGTATGAATGTACTTTCACTTACTTATTTTAGCAATACCCCTTATTGTTCTGATTAGGGCTTCTAATAATGTGTTGAATGAAAGGACTGAGAATGGATGCCCTTACCTTTACTAGATCTTCGGGTGAAAGCTCTTATTTTATTTCCATTGATTATGATTATGATGTATGTTTTAGTCTGTTTTGTGCTACTATAGCACAATAACACACACTGTGTAATTTATAGAGAAAAGAGGCTTGGAGACCTAAGATTATTGGCTATTAAGAGCTTTCAGACAGCACAATCCCATGATGGAAGGTTAGAATGCAAAAAAAATGTACATTAACAAGGAAGACACAGGGTCATACTACTTTGGCAATATGGCATAAATTCTTTCAAGAGGACCATACTCTCATGACCCATAATTTCTTTTTAAAAAAATGTTCCAGAGTACTTTATTAGTGTTTCTTTTTCCTCCCCAAATTTAATATTTTCAGTGAAAAATTTTTGTGAATTTTTGGTAACTAGTTTTATATTTATACTTTGAGTTTATACTTTGTTTAGTAGTACAATATAATGCAAGTTGTAGTGTAATAAAATTCGAGTTTTCAGGTTTTACTCTAAAATTGTTCTTCTAGGAACAGGAGCAAAAAGCCCTACCTATTAAAACTACTACACAATGGCAGCGAAGTTTCAACATGGGTTTTGGAGGGGATATTCAAATCATAGAAGTATTCTTATCTCTGTTGTTTCTTTCATATGTTACCTCTATAATCTTTTAGTTTGTATTATATTTTATTTTTTATTAATATCATCCCACATCAGAGTACCTTGTTCAAGTTCTGGCTCCATACCTCCTGATTTCAGCTTCTTACTGCTGGATGCCTTGGAAGGCTTTCCACCCATGTGTGAGACCTGGATTGAGTTCTAGTTGCTGACTTGCCTTGATCCAATCTCAACTATTGCAGGCATTTGGGGAGTGAACCAGATGGAAGATACTTCTCAGATTTCTCTGTCTTTTGGATAAATGAATAAATCAATCCATCACCTTCTTAAACTGCAATATCTGTGCTTCAACAAGCCACCACCATATAAGTTTTCATTGTGGTAGGCCCTTCTATCCAGGAACCAGTTCCTGTACTTGTTAGGGCTCATTCTAAGCAGTTGTTTCAAAGAAATTCCAGGACCCAGTGGCTTAAATAAGATAGGGTAAACAATCTGGAACTTACAATATCACTACAAGACTTCAAAGGATGTGCCTGTTTGTGATTTTCTAGGTGAAAGAAAGAGGAGTACATGACAAACATCTTTAGGATAGTATTGCAGAATGTATACACCCAACTTCCCCTCCTATCTCATTAACCAAAATTACTTAGCTATGTAATTTATATACAAGGGAGAAAACAGTAGTCTGCCATGAATAAGCCCTGTTCCTAGAGAAGATAGTTCTTACTGGAAATGGATAGCACTCTCTCTGAATTAACTGAAGCAATCATATTTCCTGATGCAAAGTTACTGATTTGAGAGCCAGAAAGTTAGCTCTTAGCAAGCAGCTGAATCACATTGATCAATCACTAGAAAAGGCAAACAAAATCATCCTGCCTAGGAAGTGGCGAGGGCATATGCTTGCTACAGTTGTTTTGGACATTAAATGTTCAATTCTCAGGAAACTCATGACCTTTAGATTCTGTTGAAGCCTAGTGGGTGGTTAGGCTTAGATTTCTATCTTTGCTTTTTCAACATGTATTCTTATGATAATCTGGCTTGAGCTAACAAGAATGCATTATTCTTTGTAACAAATAGAGGCTTCTACATTAAATTGCTAGTTCTGATTTTATCCAGTAGCTGAGAAATATTTAATATCTTCCCTGTGTAAGATGTGGTGGTAAAAATTGCTAATTTCTGCTCCTTTTGGGTCATTTGCATACCCCTTATGAAATAAAATCTTCAAGAATTTGCTTAAGTGATTTAGTGTTACTGTTAACTTGTTCTGCAGGAAAAGGTAAAAGACTCATTAGAGGATTTTTAAGCATTGGGCAATTTCATAAAAGTTAACATTAGGTATTCTATAAGGTTGTGTACTTATTAGGCATATGGTATAATTTTTACATATTATTTTATCCCACTAATTAATGCTATAGACTTGGAAACTATACTTCACTTCAGTGATATACATTTCAACATTTGTATTCATACAGTATAAAAAATGGCTTAGTTTTGATGACGCTCATATAGGAGTTTTTCAAAGATTCATATCTGGTTCATTGGCTGGTGCGACTGCTCAGACCTGTATTTATCCCATGGAGGTATGCATTATTATAGCATTTTCATTAAAGCCATGCTTTAGATGAAAACTACAACTTCTTATGAATGAATTCCAGATCAATATTTTATATAATAAACTCACTTCCAGCATAGTACATTGCACTGGTCCCCCAGGGAAAATGATACTGCCTTTGGCATTTTACGGGTGCCATCCAAAATAGGTCCAGGTGGCCCTCAGACTTAATGGCCAGCAGGTTCCAACAAGATCAGCACCAGCAACACTCTATTTAGGACACCTAGTGTCTCTCTAAACCTGGGAATTGCTTGAACCAGAAGTGGAGCCACAGCAGGGGATCACAGGAGGTGGAGAGTGATGAGCCAGGAGCTGGGGCTATGGAGACCCTGGTGGAAGCCTAACACATGAGCCCAGGCTTGAAACTCACAGGAAGGAGTAGCACAAGTGACTACAAATGAAGAACTGAGTACCAACCACAATCAGTAAAATTAAACTTTAGACTTATGGGTGACAAAGCTTAGAAACATGCCCTATGGAGAAGAATCTGCTAACCACTAGTGAAATGACAAAGCGCAAAATACTAGATAGAGCCACAGTGAGTATTACTGAAGACTCCCCTGCAAAGGAGCAAAAGTCTTTGTCAACCTCAGAGTTAACAGAGAAATACATTGAGAAAATGGGGGAATAAAGAACTTTAAAATTTGTTATAAAGCATGTTATCAATAGCGAGAAGCACATGCAGGAGTTCAAGGAATTTAAGGAATAAGTCACACAGGAAATAGCAATATTGAAACAAAATCAAGCAGAATTATTGGGAATGAAGGAAGGATATAATTAAGAAAATTAAAAATTCAGTGGAAAGTCTTAATAATAGAATGAATGAGGCAGAAGAAAGAATCATAGAATTGGAAGATATTTCTTGTGAAAATGGGGAAGCAATCAAAAAGCTGAAAGAAAGAGGTGGGTCAAGCTAAAAAAATATTCATGAATTAAGACACGATTACAAGGCCAAATATAAGGAGTTATGGGAGTTCCAGAAGACACAGAAAGAAAAGCTAGGCTTTATTCAATGAAATAATAAATAAAAACTTCCCTAATATGAAAAAAGAATTTGGAAACAGAATATAGGAGAGGCACAGAACTCCCAATAGAATTGAACAAAATTGATCTTCACCAAGGCACATGATAATCAAGCTCTCGTCAGTTGAACCTAAGGAAAATATCCTTACATGTTCACGTGAAAAAAAAAATCAAATAACATTTACAGAAGCCACAATCCGACTCTCAGCTGACCTATCAGAGGAAACTCTACAGGCCAGAAGAGAATGGAGAGACATATTCCAGATTTTAAAGGAAAAAAATTGTCAGCCTGGAATAACGTACACAGCAAAGCTTTCCTTTATCTTTAAAAACAAAATAAAATTCTTCCACAGCAAAGAAAAGTTCAAGGAATATGCCTCTTCCAGATCTGCCCTCCAAAAGACAAAGTTGTTTTCTTGATAGAGAAAAGGAATAGTATCTGCTAAAACCAAAGGCAAATGTGGAGAATATTCCAGTAAAGTCACAGCAGAAGACTAAAACAATGAACAGCCTATTACTAAAATGACAGGACCAAATTCCCACATATTCAATTTATCCCTGAATGTAAATGACTTAAACTCATCAATCAAATGTCATAGATTAGTGGACTGGATCCAAAAACAAAACCCATTTATCTTTTGCTTACAGGAGACATATCTCACCAAAAAAGATCAGTGGCAACTATATCTCAGTAGCATTTTATTTAACTTCATGGTGTTGTAGATTTTTATTTTTTTTTCCTGTTGCTGTTTTTTTTTTTTTTTGGCATTGATTTTCATTTAAGGAAATGTGTAGCAGTTGTGTGACAGAGACTATCATATCCAGATGTGAAGACACAATGCAGTATGCATCTTTACTTCCAGATCAAAGATGGACTCCCAATGAAACTGTTAAACATACGCTACTGAATGACCAATGTGTTGCTGAAAAAAAAATGAAAAAGAAAGTCAAGAACCTTCTTGAAGAAAATGATGCTATTGCACTATCTGTAAGTCAGTAAAGAATTTAATATGAGCAAATAAACTGAAGAAATGAAAAAAAAAACAAAACATTGAAACCCTTGTGATATCAGAGGAATATACCTCTACACTATAATATTTGGCTTTTTACCCTTTCCTATACTTACCATGTCATGCTGCATTTAAATATTAAAATTAAGTTTGTAATGTATACTAAGGGATTATAATGAGGAAGGGAAAATGGGAAGGGAGAAAATGGAAGAGGAGTGAACTGTGAAACTGTACTATGGAAAAGAATAATTAGAAAAAAAAAAGAAATGACAACTTGAAAAGCAGAGAATAGAGAAAGGAAGAGGGTGAAGTGTGTCTGTATCTTTGAGAGGTTGACATCTGAATGACCTTTTTCATTTCCCAAAGTATGCATGTAAATGTTTTAGCATCTTATTTCATGGTAATTTAAAATTTACAAAAAAAAGTTGTGTAATAATTCTGCTCATCTCATTTCCCCTATTACCACCTCCTATTAGCAGATTTGTAACAATTAATGAATACACAGTGGGGCAGAATGTGCATTTTAAGAAGTTTTTAAAAATATTGGCTCTTCACTAAAATGACCATTATTTTAAACTTAAATTTTAGCTAAATTTGTTTTATTTTTAAGTAATATATTATCATAAAGGAAAAGTATTAGGACATGCTATCTTAAAGTACATTTAGAGTGTTTGAAGGGGTGGATGTTTGGTCTAACAGATGTTTATTAAAACAGTCACTCTCACATTAGAGACTTGATTTTTTGCTGGGCTCTGGCCCACAATTCCAGTCTCCTGCTGTTTCAGACTCTGGGAAGTAGAGTTGATGGCTGAAGTCATTGGATTCCTGCCACCCACTGAAGGAGACTTTGAGTTCCAGGCTTCCCTTGCCTATTCCATGATTGGAAATCTCTCACCCAGAATCTATGCTTTTCAAACAGCAAACAAAAAAATGCCAGTAGAAGTGGAGTGGATATATCAGGATATATCAGTCAAAGACAAAGTGACCATTTTAAATTTTATTTTGATTAGTTTAAAATACCTTTATACTATATCATTTGTTCTTAATTGAGAATCACTATTGGGGGCCAGTCTTGTGGCGTATCAGGTAAAACTGCTACCTCTGCTGGCATCCTATATAGGCACTAAGGCATGTCTTGGTGGTTCCACTTGCCACCCAGGTCCTTGTTAATGGTCTGAGAAAAGCAGCAGATGGCCCAACTATGTGACCCTATGAGTTCTGGGTGAAGCTCCTGGCTCCTGGCAATGACTTAGCTCAGTCATGGCTGTTGTGGCCACTTGAGAAGCAAACCAGTGAACAGAGAGCTCTTTTTCTCCCTCTCACTGCAACAGACTTCCAAATAAATAAACCTTTAACAAATAATTATTGTAAAGTTGTAATGATGTTTATGCTTTCTTTCCTTTTTATTTCTATGATAGTTTACAAACATTGTAATTTATCATAGCTCACTGGATGGCTAAAGGAGTTGGATAGACCTGAGCAATTTATCCTTATTATATTATTCCACATTTAGGTAATAAAGACCAGACTAGCAGTGGCTACTACGGGAGAGTATTCAGGGATTATTGATTGTGGCAAGAAGCTTCTGAAACAAGGAGGAGTCAGAACACTTTTTCAGGGTTATATTCCTAATTTACTGGGCATTTTACCTTATGCAGGATTAGATCTTGCTGTTTATGAGGTGAGTTTATTCTTATAATTTGACATGATGTATTTAGATTAGAAAATATGGCCCAACAATTTTTATTCTAAGAATATGGTTCTAAATTACTTTTTAATGAAATGGCTTTTGACTGAGAATTCAACTTAGTTGGTTTGGATTTTCCATTATATATATTTTTTCTAATACACATATTACATAATGCATATATATAATGTTATTTATATATTCTAATACTAATTTATTCTTACTGTGAATTAGATCTTGGTAAGAGATCTAAATTTTGATAAAAAAAAAAAGTGGTTTTCAACCATGGATGATATCAGAATTACCTACATGTTTATCTTTTTAAAAAGTTTCAACATATACATAATGAGATATTCTGATTTAATAACCTCAAAGAGATGCTTGGGTATCAGATTTTTAACCACCAGGTGCACTTTGATGTACAGGTGAGGTATTGTTGCACTGTTGTGAAAAGAGCCAAGGAGAGAAGTAATTGGGAGTTGGACAGGAGGGGCAGCAAGGAGATAGGACAGACACCATGACAGAGTAGAACCAACCAGGCCAATTCTGGAACACTCCCCTTTCAGCCCATCATTCCACCCTTATGAACATTTATATTTCATGGAAATCATCTTACTATTTCCCATTAAGAGTCAGGTGAGAGTGTGTGACTAGAAAACTTAAATAATTCTCAGTCTAGGAAGGGCAGTTCTCAAAAGGCACAAACCCAACAGTATTTTTGGCAAGTAGTACCTGAGTCATGCCAAAGTTGGCTAATTTAACTTAGCACTTTAAAAAGCATAATTATACTATGCGTTACTTTTTATATTCTTACTTATGTGATCTTATTAAAAGGAATTTTCACTGCTATTTATGTTGGGCTCGCTCCATTCTTTAATAGTTTATTTTTTTATTTCACTCCAGAATATCATGAGCCATTTCTTTTTTAAATCATTAGATGATTATAATAATAAATCTATGCATTCTGATCATGGTCATAATACATAATTACCAAGTTGATGTCCTTTAATAAATGAAGTGTTTTGAAGCACTTAATGGCATTTAAACATACCATTTCTAAATAATTTCTTCCAGCTACTTTTATTTTAAAAAAAGGACAAATTTGGAAAGATGAGTCTTTAAAAAAAAAGAAAGAAGATGTAGTTTCCTTCACTAAGAGTGGATTTTGCAGTTTTCCTCTTCACACTATTTATTAATCTGTGTGAGTCTCTGCAAGTTTTTGCTTGGGTGTTTGAATATCATCTCAAACAAAAACAAACAAAGCACATAGAGAGATGCAAACATAAAACTCAAACTGAGGTTGAATAAGTATGTTTATTTGAAAACATTCGCATACCATCCCTGAAATGGGAGCAGGATAGCCCTTTCGTACTAAAGAGCTCTTGTATTTAGAATTATATGATAGCTGAAGAATATTTATTATTCTATTCTCTGCTAGCTTTTGAAGAATTATTGGCTAGAGCGTTATGCAGAAGACTCCATAAACCCCGGGATAACGATTTTGATGGGATGTAGTACACTGTCTCACATGTGTGGTCAATTAGGCAGCTTCCCTCTGCACCTTGTTAGAACTCGCATGCAGGCTGATGGTGAGTTGTTGTCATTGATTCAACGAGGCAGAAAGAACTAAAAAGTCATTTGTAAAAATTAAAGATTCTGTGAACAAAAAATGTAAAATTATGCAGGAAAAGCTCTTTGATTAAGGCATGGATTTTGAATCTATGATGTTATTAAATTGAACTTTTTATAAATTTATTTTATAAATTTCTCATTGCTTTCAGTTATGTGTGATCTCTCCTCATTCAGTTATGTGTGAATGAAAGTCTCCTCATTTCTTTCAGTTATGTGGGATCCCTCTGAGAAGTTTACAATTAGGAGGTACTGTAAAGAACAGTGGAGGAGGTCTTCAAAGTGATCCGTGGTCATCCCCACTTGAGCATGTAATGCCTCCATAGTTCTGCTATCATGTCATGTTTTGTATCAGGAAATTAACATATTTGTGGCATTGAATTCATTTTAAATTCCAGTTTGCTTGGGGAGGGTGTCTGTTTCTTCCTTTCATAGTGAAATATTGGGAATTTATATTTTAAGAAAATATATTCTTTTTTTTTTTTCAAGAAGGAAAAAACTTCCTACATGAACCCTACTGTTATGTTTTTGGATACTTTATTTAAGGGATCAAATTCTGTTTAGTTAGATTTTTGGATTTTTTTTTTAACTCTGCTAACATAAAGAGGACAGATTTCCTAAAATTTCTAAGGTGATAACCATACTTCCCTTTTTCCTCTCTTCTTCACTTTTCTTTTTATTTCTTAATTTTTGCAAAGTCATAATCCCCTCTATAATCACAGGCCCAATTCACCCACTAACAAGTAAAAAGCAGGAAGATGACAGTTCCACAGAAATATAAATAAGTGCTAAACACAAGAATCAAATTATAGGATACGTATTTCATTCCTATACATTTTTTTGGTATCCTATCTTAACTACCACATATCAAAAAAAAAACCATGATATTTGTCTTTTTGAGACTGATTTATTTCACTAAGCATAATTTACAATTGCTTCCATTTTATTGCAGGAGACAGAATTTCATTCTTTTTATGGCTCAGTAGTAGTCCATTGTGTATATATATATATATATATATATGTGTGTGTGTGTGTCCCATTTTCTTTCTAATCATTGGTTGATGGACATCCGGGTTGATTCCATGTCTCAGCTATTGTGAATTGAGCTGCAGTAAACATGGGTGTAAAAGTAATTCTTTCATTTGTTGATTTAATTTTGTTTGAGTAAATTGCCGGGAGTGCAATGGTCAGATTTCTTAGGAATCTCCCTATTGTCTTCCATAATGGTAATAGTATTCCAAGCTGCTTTTCTCCCCATATCCTTGCCAGAGGGTGGTTGTTGTTGTTTCGTGACAGCTATTCTACCTAGGGTGAAAGAAAGCCTCATTATTATTTACATTTTCCTGGTGGGTATTGATCTTGAGCATTATTTCATGTGGCTGTTGATCATTTGTATTTCACCCTTTAAAAAATGCCTGTTCATGTCCTTTGCCTCTTTCTTACCTAGATTGTTTCTTTTGATGTTGTTGAGTGTCTTGGTTTCTTTATAGATCCTGGACTTTAATACTGTATCAGTGGCACGGTTTGCAAATATTTTCTACCATTTAGTTGTCTTTTCTCTACATTGAATTTTTTGCTTTGCAGAACAGAAGATTCTTAGCTTGATGTGATCTCATTAGCTTATTTTTGCTTTTATTTGTCTATACTTCTGTTTTGTTTTTTTTCCCAAGAAGTCTTTGCATATGCCAAGATCTTGCAGATTTTCTGCTGATGTTTTCCTTTAGTAATTGGATTTATCAAGTTGTATATTTTGATTTTTGATCTATTTTAATATTTTTGTATAAGGTAGAGGATCATATGTCATACTTCTGCTTGGGTGGATACAATTTTCCCAGGACCATTTGTGCAACCTGACTGGAAGATCTATTTATCTCATCACCCATTCTCTCTCTATTAAACTATCTGTGTTATGCCCCACTTCCAAATGTTCCTTTGAGGTCTTTCATGAAGGGGTTTTGATCATTTTTCACTAGAACTTTCTTCTGTGATGGAAATACTTTGTATCTGTGCTAGCCAATAATGGAAAGCACCAGTCACATGTAGTTGCCAGGCATTTGAAATTTTGTTAGTGTAGGCTGGGGACTGAATTCATGGTTTTATTTAATTTTAACTTTAATTGATTTAAACTTAGATGTTATATATGTCTAGGTATTCCATGTTGGCTAGCATAGGACTATAAAGAGGAGAGTGTATGCTTTAAAGTAATTTTAATCTGCGTAATTTCTTATTTATCATGGAGTAATATTAATATATAAAGATTAAATATTGATTTACATTGTTTTTTTAATTTACAGTCCTAGCAGAAAAGGAAGCAACACCAATGATTCAACTCATTCGAGAGATATATAATAAAGAAGGGAAACGGGGATTTTTTAGAGGAATTACCCCTAATATCATAAAGGTGCTTCCTGCAGTAATCATCGGCTCTATAGTTTATGAGGAAGTGACGCCATATTTTGGACTAAAATAGAAGTCAAGTATCAAACTGTTGTCATTGACATAATCACCGAATTGATTTAACACTTGAAAATGTGGATTCCAACTTGAAATTTTTTTTTGAATGAACTTAAAAATTTTGAAGGGTAACATTCCAGAACGCTTGGTCAGTTACAAGAGTTTATCTTAGCCTTTTGAATTTAAAAACACTTTTTAAAAGCTGAATTTTCAAATGTTTGATACACCAAGAACAAAATCAGTGCATTTAAAATTGATGTCTAGTAAATGACTGGATCTGTTTTCTTCTTCAAGAAAAATGAAAAGTTGCTTTCATGATTCCTTCTATGATATCGTGGATGGAATATTGATGACAGATTTGTTACTTCCCTGGATTCCCTGAGTTGTAAATATAAACACTGTTGATGCATTTCATTTACTAAAATTTTCAGCTTGTATAAGGAAATTGGCATTGAGAATGAATCAGCATTGAATAAAATTTCTTTTACGGTGAAAAACAATTGAGAGGACAAATTTTTAAAATTAAATCCATTATTTCATATTTGGTGAAGTAATTCTTGTTTCAACTGAATAGCTGATTGTGCCAACCCTTTGTAAATCCTATTCTCTGTTGGAATTAAAGTGTGATAAGGCAATAAAAATGGGCTGGTTAGCCTTTTCTAATGATGGACTGCTTAGCTAACCTGACTAAAGTTCAGGATCTGATCCTTAGCTTTGACGATCCAAAAATGTGTTCTGTGCTCCCCCAAATGATCAGTTTCGTGGTTCTAGGTATGAAAAAGATCACCCTTAACACTAACATGTAGCTCACAATGCATTAATTTACAGCGAAGCACAGTACTTTCCGCTAATCAGAATGCTTTCATGCCATCTCCAGGGCATACTGCCTTCCTGTTGTCAAGGTACTTGGGAAACCAAGAAAGGAATGAAAAGACTGGTGTAGAATCAGAAGAGAAAGGTTTTCTGAAGGATATTTTACTCAGCCTAACCTGAAATGGGAAGAGTAGGAACCTTGTGTACAATGAGAGAGCTGAGACCTAAGTAGGAGAATGGAGAGAACTATGTAACGAGTTATGGTAAGTCACAGACCACCAAACCCTGAGAAAGGCAAATCTCATATGAAGCCTGGAGCAGGTATGTAAGAAACTTCAGGGATAGTGGCAACTGAGCACATAAACTTTGCAAAGCATTCCAAGTTGATGGAATAGCTTTTTTAAAAAGATTTATTTATTTATTGGAAAGTCAGATATACAGAGAGGAGGAGAGACAGAGAGGAAGATCTTCTGTCCAATGATTCACTCCCCAAGCGAGCACAACGGCCGATGCTATGCCAATCCGAAGCCAGGATCCAGGAACTTCTTCCAGGTATCCCATATGGGTGCAGTGTCCCAAGGCTTTCAGTTGTCCTTAACTGCTTTCCCAGGCCACAAGCAGGGAGCTGGATGGGAAGTGGAGCTGCTAGGATTAGAACCCGTGCCCATATGGGATCTCGGCGAGTTCAAGGCGAGAACTTTAGCCGCTAGGCCATGCCACCGGGCCCGATGGAATAGCTTTAATAGTAACATGAAAATGATGATGCTCTGGGGAAACAGCAAGTAGCCTGATCAGTTTTGAGTGTGTAGCGTACTGGATCACACAGTGAGAGAGGAGATTTCTGCTCTTGGTTGGTGACAGAAGGTTTGTGCAATAATGATATGTTCTAGCAGAGGTGGGGAACATTTGGACCATGGGTCAAATAAGCCTCACAGGATAGCATGTCCCAGCTAGGTGTTCTTCACCTTCCCTACATATCTTTTTAAAAAAATAATCGGGCCTGGCGCGGTGGCGCAAGTGGTTAAGGTCCTCACCTTGCATGCCCGGGATCCCATATGGACGCCGGTTCTATCCCAGCAGCCCCGCTTCCCTTCCAGCTCCCTGCCTGTGGCCCGGGAAAGCAGTCAAGGACAGCCCAAGGCGTTGGGACCCTGCACCCGCGTGGGAGACCCGGAAGAGTCTCCTGGCTTCGGCTCGGCATAGTATCGGCCCGTTGCGCTCACTTGGGGAGTGAATCATCGGATGGAAGATCTTCCTCTCTGTCTCTCCTCTCTGTATATCTGCCTTTCCAATAAAAAAATAATAATAAAAATAAATCTTAAAAAAAATAATCAATATGTTGGTACACTGGTATACTCACCACAGATTTGGCATTGACCATTTTGCCAGGAAAAGGCATGAAGAAGCTTTTGTACTTCCAATCCACAGCACCATTAGGGAGGAGCTGCAGGAGAATTCCACAGTTCTTGCTGTCTTCAGGTTTAGCCCAGAGAGCTGACTGGGGTCTGAGAAACTGCTTTGCTCTGTGAAGGTACCTGCTATGACTCCTCTCCCTAAAATGCCAATTCTAGTTTTTGATGGTGGAGTCACTGCTGAATTCGGTTCTGGCTTATGGGACAAGCAGCCCCATCGGAGCCTGAGGCCACTGGAACCCGAGACTGGACATTTCTCAGGGTGGAGATTGGATGTCTTGCACCTTGAAGCAGAGTAGATTCTGAGCATAAGCCCCAGAGCTGTGAATGCTCACCCTGTGTGATTTAGGGGTTTCTTTAATTACTTAGGGCTAGCACAAAAGAACCCATAAGTAATGTGAAAGGACTAGACTCAAGGAAGGCCACTTTGCACCTCTTAACTACAGTGCCAGGAAGCCAGGAAACAAATTCTTGCATCTTTCTTGCTTACTTAATGGAAACTAGGGGAAGCTCTGTACCTTGCAGATCGGGGACTATTGAGGTTAGTTTACAATCTCTGGAGTAACTCATGCTCACTTGCAGTATTTGGAGAGCTCTACCTGTATGCCCCTGCTTCAAGATGGTGGCTCTCAGCCCACAATTCCTAATGCAACTGGCTCTCACCCTTAGAAACCTGTTTAATGATCCCACTGTATTGCATAGCACCATAGCTGTATAGATTCCACAGATTCACTGTAATCTACTTTGTGAGACTTAGGGAGAACAGACCCACGTTCCTCTTCTCCAAACCCACATCTGCTGGTATAAAACTCTGCATATTTTATAGTCACTCTGTAAGACCAGAGCAAGGATGCTTCACATTCCCCATTTCTAGGACTAGGTAGGTCTTTAGGTAGTGCAACCTGCAGCACCAGTCATGCTCTTCACTTCCATATTCACTTCAAAGTTACACTTCTACCTTCATCAACTGCTGCAGACTAGAAAACTGGAACTTACAGACACTGCTGGCATTGAAACTAAAGAAATAATCCCCATGTTATACTTCTGAGCATACCTAGTGTGAAAGTCATAGCAACAAGCCATAAATGAACACATATATTACATCTAAATAAAAAAAAACTGCTTTCCAACTAAACCTGTTCTATAAAGAAGGAACTATTGCACTTGATGTGCAAACATCGCTGAAGAGATAATGCAAACATGAGGAAGGAAGAATGCATGGCACCTCCAAAAGAACACACTGTTTCTCCAGTGTTAGATTCTGATCTGAAGGAAATCTATGGCATACCTAAAATAGAATTAAAAGCAGTTATCCTAAGGTAGTACAACATGATTTAAGGGAACACAAATACGGAGTTTAAAGAAATGAGAAAAACAATAGATTACATGAGAGATAAAGCCTGAGGAGAGAACAATAATTAAAATGAATCAGAAAGTTTTGAGCTGAAAACTTCAATAAAATAAGAAAATACAATGGAGCGTGTCAACAGCAGGATAGAGCAAGCAAAAGAATTTCTGATCTATAAGAAAGGGTTTTTGAAAGAGCCCACTCAGACAAAAGTAAAAAAATATTGAAAGAGAATGACAAAAGGTAATTTCTAATGCAACTGGCTCTCACCCTTAACAACCTGGGAAATGTGGGATACCATTTAGCAAACAAATACTCCTATTATATGGTTGCTTAAAGGCAAAGAGAAGGAAAGGGCACTGATATCCTACTAAGTAATAATGAAAGCTATTAAGGTTTTGAAAGAGATATGGATATTCAGCTATAAGAAGCTCAAGGACCTCAATCAGGCTCAACCAAAAAAAGCCTTTCCAGAGGCATACTGTAGTCAAACTCTGGAAAGTTAAGAGCAAAAAGAAAATTCTAAAGGAAATAGGAGAATACTAAGTTTTGTATGAAGGAAAACCAAATCAAGAGCAGACTTTCTGCAGACACTCTGTAGCCCAAAGGAGAGTGGGAAGAGTGGGATGATAGCACGCCGAGTGACATAGTGAGACACAGAAGGACATGATCATATATTCTCTGCTGTATATAGGAACTAAACGAAATAAAAACCAATACACTCCAGTTTGTTTGCTTCAACACAAAATGTTTGCCATTTTGCAGTAAATACAATGTTTTGTCAACTTTTAAAAATCTTTGTCAGAATCTGAAATGAACACCCTCTGGGGCTGACACTCCATTCTGAGGTCTCAGTTCTAACCTTCACCTCACCCCGACCCAAGCTTTCCTACTCTTTGTTTGGTTACCATTTCCTTGTTATTGTGAGGCTCAGTGAGATAATGGATATGTAAATGTTTTATATACTGTTCACAATGTCTAAGAATAGCATCATTTTTAGGTGAAATAGTGTGTATGGTATTGTAGACTATAAGGATACTTTTATTCAGAAAGACCTAAGTTCCAGTCTATGCCTTCTTCATTATCATGTGAGGTTTGGAAATTCAGTGAACCTTTAAATAAGACTTTTTATATTGTAATATGGGAGCGTGATATTGCCTTTTGAAGTTACTATATTGGAGATTGCCTTCAGAGCATAATTTGTTAGGGATATGAAATTGCTTTGCAGCATATGAAAATACATATAAACCTTTGTTTATGAATCCATTCAATGTGGAGAGAATACAGATGGATTTAGTAGGATATCCTTAGATTTGCAAAACCAGAAACTCTAATGTTATGATCTGTGTCAATCATCTTTTTGTCACCATTACATAAAGAATCAAGATATGCTGCTTATGAAGGAATAAGGTTTGTTTTGACTCACCACTTTGAAGATTCATA